AAACTTTTACGAAGTTGTATAGGCCCATGGCTTACAAGTGGAAGTTTATGGAAACGAGATCTCGCAAAATAGTGGAAGAGTGTCTACATAATTAATATCTTATGTTAAGTATTCATCATCCAGTTTACATATCTATACTTATATCAGTCGTAAGGAAAAAAGGACACGTTTTGAAAGAAAAAAACTATAACTATCGAAAGAAAGGAAATAACAATCATAAAAAAAGAAACAGTTTAAAAACAACTGAAAGGGGCCGCGTTAAAGGGCAATGAAAATGAAATATTGAAAGTTAATTAATAATACAATGCAGGTAATTGTTAATAACAGCACACCAGTTTCGATATTAAAATTCATACTTGGCTTCGAGGCTTGAGTGAATCAAACGGAAAGAAATTACCTTGAGATTCAGGGATGAATATAACATTTCTTTTCTATTATTCCCCCAAACCTTGGAGTCAAATGTGTATATCAAAATATCGAAACTCGCGTGTTACATAAATAAAAGGTGTACAACCCTTCGTCAGCTGAGGTGCATGAGAGCGCCGCGCCAAGAGAGTTAATCATGTCATCTTTTCTTCTCGTTTTGCTAGCAGGTAAGTATAACCCAGGTTTCGCAATAAGAATGTCTGAAACAACTCAGATTTCAGGGTATTTATTTCGACGATGTTTTCAAAACTAGCGAAAACTCTTTCTTAGTTTAGAAAACAGCAAAACCAGTCGATATACTTTTGCTCTGGAAAGTTTTGAAAAGGAAAACTGATTGGTTTAAAAGACTGATCCAATGTACAAACAACAGAGTACTAGGGTTTTAACTAAGTCAAAACATCAGCTTGGCATGAGATTGTCTGAACGGAGCGAGTTACTCCGAAAGACGAATACAAATTGCGAATTGCCGCCTTGCAGTGAGTAGGGTTAGGGACCTCGCAGCTGCTGCTTTTTTCATCATGTTGTTGAAAAACTGAATATTAGTAATATTGATTATTCAGTTGGCAAGATATGTTATCAAAAGTTAAAAAAAGTTAAGAAATTGCAAAGAACGGCTTACGATTTAGTCAATAACTAGTTACTTCTAGTTTTTCCAGGTCGCTCGGAGACTTTCTTCCAAACATTTGCCTGTTTCTCGGCACAATTTCAGAAAATGAATTATGGATTTTTCTATTTGCAGATACTTCTCAAAAGGCAGATTACAGTCATAAATTAAGAAATATCTTTGCATATTCTTGCATTCGTTATTTTCATCTTTTTTCAGCAATTTGGCAAATTCGTTTTCACATAGCCCTGACCCCTTTCGCTTTTTTAAATTCTGTGCTGATGCCACTGACTTGCGTAACGTTAATGATTACATATCTAGCCAAATTTATGAAAATTGCATCAGCTGACAACTCTAGGGCAAACAGCTTAACTTGACTTAAATATAAGGGGCCAATATGGCCAATATTATAATTAAATTCAGCTCGAACCCATAAACCTTTTAACGTGAGTCTCTTCTTGACTCCTATAAATTAGCAAAAAAATATTTAAGTCTATCAAAAAGACAGTCTTAACTTCAATCGGCGACAAAATTGTTGAGACATTGTACTTAACTAGGGTCACTTCGGAGAACAAAAGAATCCGCACCCCACCCCTGTCCCCTCCATTCAAAGTTGGGGTGTTTGTTGTTTTCTATAGGTAGCTAGAACAAGGGCACAACATTGCACGGAGGGGATGGGGGAGGAAAGCAATATTTCCTCCTTTTGAAGTTAATAAAACGTAAAAAAGCCCAGTTTTGGTTGAAGTGTCTCAACTCATTTTGTCGCCGATTGTTGGTCATCTCTTGTTTTACGCCCTATAATTACGACCGAAGCAACTTGAGACGCTAACCCTGGGCAGAAAATTTAAAACCACATCCCCTGCAGACCTGACACAGCGATGCACATCGGTGCAAGAAATCCTTTCATTATAGCCATCAGCCTGAAGCATTACAATAATTTGGCACAACAAAATTAAACCAGACACATGATCGTTGAACTGATTCTCCAATAAAGAGACTTACTGACCATACGACACTTGTTCAGCACTCTCCCTGCTAGGTATTGTCATGGAAACCTGTTCACACCCTATGGGAAGTTAGCTCAGGGCCTGAGCTTGCCGATGAGACCAACCAAGCCGGAAAGTGCTCATATTCTGGGCCTTTTCGAGGAATGTTCTCAAAAATTCGGTTAGATATATATTGGTAATAAACAATCAAGTGACTAACGGCATGACTGTGAATTGCACGCATCCAAACTTGGTCAACGAAAGCTGATTATGAGAAGTTAGCTGGGGGGACTAAAGTCAGCCAGGAAAGGCATAATATTTTGAATGTATCAGATAATGGCCCATATACGTGTAGCTGTTTTTAATAAATATCATGATTGTTTTCCTTCCAAATCAACAAAAGCGCATTTTCAGACAGGACGAGAACGTGTCACGTCTCATGTGTCAGACTTCTCTAACTCTCTAAGGTGAACAAAACTAATAA